CAAGGTTTGGTTGCTCATTGCTACTGGGGTATCGTTTCTGTTCAGCTCTCTCATCTGATGGAGGAAAAAAATAATATTTGTGTGTCTACTAACTCTTGAATATACACATATCAATAAATATTTACATATATAATAATCTGTAACTATATTAAGCTAAACTTTGGGGTTTTTGGTTTTTTAAGATTTTATTGGGGAATTGGGGGAAAGGAACAATGTTGGGGAATCGGGGAAGGGGAACAGACAAGTTGCTGTCCTTTTTTTCTTCAGTCTAGTTGTGGAGGACGTTGCTTCATTGGCCCATGTTGGTATTATCATTGCACTCTTCCCGGGGGAGGCAGTCGCTCGCCAGCCATTGGACAGCCATTCACAGTGGCTCATGGCAGCTCATGATAGCTCACGCCCGCTGCCGGCCAGCCCAATTGCAGCCTACACCATTGCTGGTGACTCACAGCAGCCCAGCTCCAGGTTGAGCTGTTGTTCACCATCTTAGCTGTAGAGGGCACAGTGTCACTGGCCCTCATGGGGAATCCGAACTGGGGCTCTGCTGCTCAGAGCTAGTGTCCCAAGCCAACTCCTACCAATGTACCACTCAGCTGGCCTAAACTTTGGTTCTTATTGATGTCTCTGACTCTAATCCATTATCACATAGATCATTCCAGCTCCCTTCCCTTGCTCATCTGTAAATTCCCACCCAAACAATGAGTGGGTGGGAATCCATTAATTGTTGAATTCCAGTACACATGTTTAGCAGTATCAGATTATTAACCCATACCCCCACAGGAAATAACAACTGGAGTATAATACTTATGTGCAGTTCCTTTTGCCTTTAGACTTACAGGCTCTATTCATTCCCAGTTACTTAGGTTAGCACCTTCCTTCCCCTCCCCCCCTTCCTTTCAGTGAGGTTATGTCATACATTTCTAATAGTTAGATTCTCTTATCACAGTCTGCATTCCTTCCTAGGATCCCCTGGCCTTCTAAATGGCCTTTTTAAAATTTGCATATATTGTTTCACTCTTTGTGCTGTACAGTTCTATGGGGTTTGACAAATGTATATGGTCATATATCCACCATTACAGTATCATACAGAATGGTTTCTCCATCCTAAAAAAAATCCATGTTTCATCTATTCATTCTTCCTCTCTCCAAGCCCTTGGCAACCACTGATTTTTTAATGTCTCTATAGTTTTGACTTTTCAAGAATGTCATATAATTAGAATCATGCAGTATGTAGCTTTTCCAGAATAGTTTCTATCATTTAGTAATATACATTTAAGGTTCCTTCATATCTTTTTGTGGCTTAATAAC